GTAAATTTGGCTGTATGTCCCCACCCCCGTGTCTCCCCAAAATCTCTGCTCTCATCACAACAACTTCTCTGGGAGTTGAGCTGGTTTCCGAACTGCGCTCCGATCATCACAACCCTCTGTGTAACTACCCCACGGAGCCTGCCTCCTCCCCTGTTCATAAATCCTTTGCTTTTACCATGGAGCATTTGGCACTGGGAGCCGGGTGCGCTCGGCAAAGTTTCCTGCACTCCAGTCCAGGTGCCGTGAGAGAGATTTTTTTCGAGCCAAGACAGATTTAGAGGAATGAAAATGTCATTGATCCACCTGCTGGCGAGTCCCCTGGCCATTTTAAACAGGCTGTTATGTAGGATACACAGACCGGGAAGAGGCTTCCCATGAATTCAGTGGAACACACACACACACACAACCCGCTGACAACTTAGCAGGAAGAATCCAGTAATAATACACATCCCCGTTCTGCCAACAAAGCCAGAGGCCTGGCCTACACTTAAAATGTAGATTGGTATAGCTACAGCACTCGGGGGAGGGATGAGAAAAATCCACCTCCCTGAACTTGACAGCTATGCTGCCATAACCCCAGTGTAGACATAGCTAGGCCCATGGAAAACGGCTCCCATCAACATAGCGACTGTACTCAGGGCATGTCTACGCTACAGTGTTATGTCGAAATAACTCCCCTATTTCGAAATAACAAGGTGCGTGTCCACGCAGCAAGCCCGTTGGTTCGCAATTATTTTGAAATAACAGGCTTCTTATTCCAGAATAATAAACCCTCCTTTCACAAGGAATAACCCCTATTTCGAAATGACTATTGTGAAATAGTGGTAGTGTGGATGCTCCACTGCTGCAATTTCAAACTAGCTTCTCCCCAGGACCATTCAGAATAATTACTCCCCAGTGCTTCCTGGAGCTCTAAATTGAGGTAGCGCGTCCACATTAGGGGAGCCTGCCTCGGACTAAGTTTGAGGCTTCCCTGTAGTGTGGATGTGCTATTTTGAAATAGTTATTTCAGGAGTTGTTATGGTATTTTGAAATATCTTTAGGCTGTCTACACTGCTCGCGCGTTCTTGCACAAGTAAATTTACAGTACAGCGTTGTAAAACAGGGCTTCTTCAGAAAGAGTTCTTCCTCTCCCTACAAGGAATAAGCCCTCTTGCACAAGAGCTCTTCCACAAGAGGGCAGTGTAGACAAGCAACATGAATTTCATGCGCAAGATGCCCCTATGGTTAAAATGGCCATCAGAGCTTTCTTGCGCAAGAAAGCATCCACACTGCCATGGTTGCTTTTGCGCAAGAGCCCATGCCAGTGTAGACGCGCTCTTGTGGAAGACTTTTTGCACAAGAACTCTTTCACAAAACAGTTCTTCTGCAAGAAGCTGCCAGTGTAGACGTAGCCTTAGGGAGGTGGTGTTCAGAAAAAAATTCTTCTCACTAGAAGCTACATGTACTCTAGGAGATTATGCTGGCATAGCTACAATGACACAGCGGCACTGCTATATCCGCGGTGTCCAACCAATTCTGAAGCAATAGCCACTATTGCAAACTAGCCGAACTCAACCGGCCAATAGCCACATGTGGCTAATGTGGTGGACATAATAGTTTTAGGAGATTTTCCACCCACAGGGCTAGCCTGCTGGACACCACAGCACTATGTAGTCCCTATAGTGTAGGCATGGCCACAGAAATAACACACATAGGACTTCTCAGTGCAGGAATCCTACACTACAGATGGGAATGTACCATGCCTGGAGTCTCAATGACAGATGCAATGAGGGAGTTTGCTACCCACAGCACCCTCACTGTAGAGACGGCACACAACTCTCCAGCAGCAGAAATGACCCCCAGGGCCTCGTAATGCACAGGCCTTCGTGCCTCAGAAATAACACACCCAGTGTGCAGTACATGGCACCGTGACACAAGAAGATGAAGAGAGGAGAAAACAGGGAAAGAACTGCTGATTCTGTGTGGATAATACACATCGGTAGGTCATGTTAGCCACGCAGCTCCGGGGTTAGACATTTTTATAGCAATAAACAGAAGATAACCTCGATTGCAGTCAAACTGGAGGGAATCCAGGAGTCTAAATCTGGAAGTCGTTCCCTCCTTCTGCAAGCAAGAGACAATAAAGCTGTGGCTGCGGACATCAGGGCATTGAACTAAAAGGCCGAGACTCATGGGGCTCAGAGGTTTTATATTTTTTGTTCTGAAAACACATCTGGGGAAATGCAGCCAGGACTCCGCCCACGCACTGAGATCGGTGGGGCAGGGGTGTAAATGAGGACAGGGCGTTGGACCGTAGATGTTGTCGCGTTCATTGCAGAAGGATGTCTGTGCTTAGTCTACTTGTAGCTACTCATGAGCCCTAATACTAAGAATGGTGGTGGAAGACGCTCTCCCCGATAGTTCCCAAAATGTGCCGCTGAGCTTTTCAAACCCAGGGATTCCTGCTAAAATGAAGGGGAGCTTGGGAAGTTTCCGCCTGAGCCGCCCCAGGGATGCAAATGACTCATGACACGTGCACTGGGCAGGAAACTCTTTTGCCCGTGTTGCATCTGTGCAGCTCGATGTTGAGCGGTTGTGCAAACTGACTGTCGCTTGCCAAGAGTCAAGGCCGTTCATGGGACAGTGTCCCAGAAAGGGCCAAATTCCGAGGCAGGGCATGGGAGGGTGCTAAGTTGCTGGACCACACATTATCTTCTACCCCTCTAGTTTGCTCTGATGCACCTCTGTGCCTTTCTTCCGAAGGGGAAAGGGCTCCCCAAGTCTCCACCCTGAGCATGCACCCCTTTCCCGCTGCACCCTGGGCAAGTCTGGACCCTGCCCACTAGCGTTACTCACAACATAGGCAGCTTTCACTCCCGCAAAGGAAGGGTGGGCACGCTGTTTACACCCGCCCTGCGGGGTTCTCCTGCTGTCGGCCAGGCAGGAGTGTGGCCGGTGCCCCCTGTGGCCTTAGGTCCCGTGCAGTAGCCCTCCTTCTTACCCCTTAACTCCAGCCCAGCCTTTCTCTGCAGAATTACAGGTTGTGTGGCACAGGTGGTCCGGGGAGTTTTTATAGCACTAGGGACGCAAGAAGGAGAGAGGCTGAGAGTCTCTGATCGACCTTGCTCTTGTTTTCTGTACCCGGTGGCCGTAGTGAGGGTCGGGTGGTTCTCCCATGTCTGTGAGGCGCATGTCCTGCCCCAATGCCCTTTGTGCACTAAGCTGCCCTCAGTCACCGCTGCTCAGGGGCTGCTGGAGAAAAGCCCCACATAAACTTCTCCCCTTTTCTCCACAGGCACCTGCACAACAACCGGATCCAGAGCCTGGGAATCAACAGCTTCGAAGGGCTGCACAGCCTAGAAACTCTGTGAGTCACCGTTTTCTCTTCCGTGCACAACAACGCCCTCTGCGAAGGGCTTCCCTGCCAGCTCAGCCCGCGCGGGCGCCGGACGTACCCATGCCAGGCTCATGACACTCAGCCACGGCCTTCCCTTGCACGGAGGCTTGGGGGCTGGGCCGTGTGCCTTGCAGGGCAGTTGCAAATGTGGGGTTGCTGGAAGGAACTGGCATGTTTGGCAGCTTATTTGCCACCTCGTGTTGTATCGTTTTGCTTCCTTCTTATCATCTTATTACCCTTGAGGAAAATGCTTTGAGATTAAGCCGTTCCACCAGCCTTGACGGCCCTTTACTGCTCTCCAGCTCCACTATTCCCCCAAGCTATGGGGCCTGGCATGCATACAGCTGCTCACAAAAGTGGGGAGCCGGCCCCTGCCCCTGCACTCACTGGCTGTACCCCCCTGGGGTTACAGAGTGATGACCTTTATTGCAATCTGCTGCTTTGCCCTTGTCTCTTATCACGCTGCTGCCCCCAATTACACACCCGGCCTTTCACCCCTCGCTGTCAGCCTCTGCCCCTCAGCCGTTATTTCTGCTCACGCTTCCTCTGTCTGGACATCGGGGCCTTCTCGGGTGTCTCAAGCTGGACACCCCAAAACAGAGGCCAGTAAATATTAGTGACCAGGTCTACAATATCTTAGCCAAGATGTTTTATAAGCACCCGAAGCTAAAGATAGGGTTGCCAGATACTTTCACAAAAAATACCAAAGATGGCAGGGGAAAAAAATTGGTCAAGCAAAAAAAAAAAATCGGGGCACTGTGCTTTTAAATCCCTATGCTCCCCCCCACCCCTGCCAGATGCCTCAAGGAGGAATGTCCTAAGCGGCCTTTTACCGGACAGAGGCTGCAAATACCAGACACCTAGCAACCCTAGCAAAGACTGTGTCCTGGTCTGGCTGTCCAAGGTGGAGGGAGGCCTGTTCTTGGCTAGTGTCTAGAAGCCACTGCTGTTAACAGTCGTTGTCCTTATTAATAACCAAGTCCCTGGCATAGTCCTGTGGCAGGCTGGCATCAGCACTGCTGGGCTCCCAGGTGCCTGGGAGTCAGGGGTGAGCCCTGCTGTAGGACATGTGCTGCCAGCACACAGGACTGCTCCTAGCTCCCCGCCCTGACGTGGTGCTCCAGTTCAGGAGAGAGCGCAGGGCCCCGCCCGCGAGGAGGCTGTGTGGCTGCCATGTGAACCGCCCGGGTGGAATGAGCCGCCCACTGGCCTCATGCGAAAAACAAACAAACACGCAAATAAATCCAGGCTCCACGATGTCCAAGGAGGCGGCGACTTGCCCTCGGCTGCACAGAAACCTCTCCCTGCGTGCTGACCTCGGGCAGGACCCAGCGAGCCGCGGGGAAGAAGGGGATGGGAATTAGCCGGGACGACGTGTCCTGTCATAAAAGTGTCACTCAGAGAGACGGGCTTTTCCGGGAGGTCGTTTGAGCTGCTGCAGGCAAACTAGTGGGCCTAGATCGTCAAAAGTCTTGAGGCTCCCAACTCCCCCTGGGGCTTGTGTACCGTTGAGGAGCTGGGCCGGGGTGACGCCTCTCTTGACGGGACGTGTTGTCCCTCACCTTTGGACCCACAGAGCCAGAGGCGCCCAGAGCGGTTGGGACGGCGCTCTGGCTTGCCGCTGCTGACAGCATTTATAATGGAGTCGGGGCTGGCGGCTCTTGGTTGCCATGGCAATGCGTGTGGGGCGCGTGCCTGGAGAAAGAGGGGTTTTGGAAAGACACCTTGGATCGGGGAAGGAAGCCGAGTCGCAGCTGGCGTCTGAGCACCAGCCCCGCTTGGGGTCAGTGGGGGGCAGTCCTGTGCATGACTGATAGCAGTGTGGGTCAGCTAGCACCTTCGTGGGTTACAGCCTCCCCTAAGCCCAGGGGCCCAGCGAGCGAGGAGTGACAGCAGCTGGAGCCCTGGGCCCTTTAAATTGCTGCCGGAGCACCTCACCATGCACTCTGGGCAGCCCTAAGGGCTGGGAGGGGGTGTGCTGTGCTCCAGGCGGGGGCTGGGAGAGGGCGCACTGCGCTCCGGGCAGAGGGTGGGAGGGGGCGCGCCGTACTCCAAGAGGGGGCTGGGAGGGGGTGCCCAGGGGCCCTGGAGGCTCTCGGCTGTGCTGCCCCCGTGTAAAATGGAGGGTGAGCGAACCAGGGACCAGCTGGGAGAAGAGGAATCTCCCTGTGGCTGGATCTCGTTTCCCACTGACTGGTGTGTGTGTGTGTGTCTGGCGGGCAAAGCCAGGGCAGTTTGCTGTGCCTGTTCCACAGCGGGGGCATCGAGGTGTGTCTCACTGACGGAGAACAGCCGCTCACTGGTCACGATTTCATTGTGTGGGTTCGTTTCCAGACCCAGGTGACACTTTTCTTGGCCTGGCCATGTAGGTGGCTCCAGATTCCCACCTGCCTTCAGTCTGTGCCGAGGGGATAGAGTCTAGCTGGGACGTGGCTCCCTCGGGCCCTGCCCACGCTGGGAAATACCAATCAGGCACCACCTCTGTGGCTGGAGACTTGTGCTTTGTCAACTGGGCTGTGCAGGAGTGAAGTGTGTGAACGGCAGAGGCACCCCAGGCCTCACAGTCACGGTTCCTGAGTGCACCACTGGGGGCACATATCCTGGAACGGGCAGGGCTCATGGATTTGCACTGGTGCTGCAGTCCATAAAAGGGGTTGAGCCGTGGGCACCCACCCTTAGCTTCGTGGGGCTCCCTGGGAGGGTTCTGCCTCTCTAGCCACTAGACCATACTGCCTCCCCTCTGCACACCTCCTTCAAACTTCTCCCTCCTATCTCCAGTATGGGCCGAGGCTGAAGATACTTTCTTAATCTCGCTTGTGCTTTGGAAGCGGTGCTGTAACCACGTGGGTCCCAGGATGTCAGAGTGACAAGGTGGGTGAGGTAATGTCTTTAATTGGACCGACTTCCGTTGGTGAGAGGGGCAGGTTTTGACGCTGACACGGCGCCCGGCCTCAGGGGCTCCATGAAAGCGTGCCCAGCCGAGAGCTGTGCGCAACTCGAAAGCTTGGCTGTGTGAGTCTCTCACCACAGACGTTGGTCCAATAGAAGCTATTTCCTCACGCACCGTCAGGGCCATCCCTCGCAATGCTGAGGCCCAAGGCAGCTCAGCACACCCACCAACGGGGGAGGGGCAAAGGGGCAATTGCCCCAGGGCCTGGCAATTCAAAGGGACCTGGAGCTCCTGGCTATAACCACTAATACTGCGGCGGGCCCCCTCTGAGGGCTGGGGGGCAGCTGCTGCAGTCTGAATGGTGCGAAGGGCTGACTGCCCTCGGCCCCGCCCCTTCTGCCCTCGGCCCCGCCCCTTCTGGGGGGAAGAACTGCCTCCCCACACCTTGCCCCACGGCCCCCAGTGGCTAGCAGCCTTGCTGCAGCATAGCACCTGCTCTGTGGGCAGGGGCATTTTGGGGGCAGAAGCTATGGGGTGCAGGAGCACTGCAGGGCGGGGAGACTCGCAGCCGGTGAGAGGTGTGGGCCATGGCAAGCGGCAGGGGGGCGGGGGGCGGGGGAGCCGGGGGGGGGAACAGGAGTCCGCCAGTCCCCAGGCTCACGCCGCTTGCGGCTCCCTGCTAACTGGTGTGTGGTAGCTGGGCTCAGCACACAGGGCTGCTGGCCAGGGGTTGGGGCTGACTGTAGGAACCAGCACTGGGCCTGTGGGCAGGGGAGCCAGCTAGGGCATGGGGCTGGCCACCAGAGCCAATACACAGCATGCAGCTGTCAGGCAATTTGGTGTGCCCCACATTTTATGGTACCCTACTCAGCGGTGTGGCTTCTGTTTTGGGAGGGATGGGCCGTGCCCGCCGTGTCTCTCTCAGTTGCTTTTTACCTCAGATTAGGACTAAATTTGAACATTGATATTTAACCCGTTCTTCAGGGTCAGATTCTGCTCCCAGGTGCGGTATGGGTCCAGGTATGGGTCCAGGTATGGGTCCAGGTATGGGTCCAGGTATGGGTCCAAGTCGAGCCAAGTCAATGAGATGGCCAGGCAGAGACCCTGCTCCGGTGCTTCCAAGAGGCGTGTTTTGTTCCATTGCCGATAGGAAGCCATGCTGTTATGGATATTACTTCGAAAGCTCAGCAGAGTGGAGTCCTTTGGGGTGGGCTTTTCAGATCCAGTGATGGGAGCTAGAGCCAGTTACCAGACTGGAGATTCCCCCACCATGTCTCGAGAGCTGCGTGGGCCGGGGTGGGCAGGCCGAGGGATCGTCCTTTCTAAAATACAAGCAGGTCGTAATGTAGATGCAAGGGAGATAGTCTGGATTTCTCCTGAACGTGCCCAGTCTGTGCAAAGAGAGATCACAGTGAGACCGTCATCTGAGCAGACTGCTGTGCTCACTACTCACCTGGGAAGAGGTAAAGAAAAGTCGTGTGAGCTCCCTGCCCTCTGTGCTGGCCCTGCGGCAGCTGGCACATGAGTGGGAGAGATCTCTGCTAGCCTAGGGAATAGTGCCCCACCAGGCATCTGGGCATTCCCCCTTCACAACGGGCATGTATATGGCATGAGCAGCAGCCCCTTCTCCCAGCTGGCCAGGACGGGGCAGGCCCCCAAACGAGGCAGGAGAACACGGCTCGGTGAAAGTGTTTGCCCTGCAGCCTTGCTGCTGTGATGTTGGTCTATCTCCCACCCTTACTCTCAAAGATTTTCATGTGAACTACTTACTCAGGCCTTATTCAGTATTTCCCTGGAAGGGCATGTCCCCCTCTGGCGATCCCAGATCTTCAGTATTTAGCCATTTCTCATGCAAGATAACAGGAAGTCTCTGTCTCATGTGGTTTGGCAACTGTTGAAGAAACCCAGTGAGGCGTGTCACCACCAGTTCACCTGGGGTAGAGGAGAATACACAAGGAGCCACACTGACACAATGGGGCTGTGGAAAGAAGCCCCGGTAGGGGGGCAGCCGTGGAGCCAAGACTGGTTTTGGGCCTGTCTGCTCAGACTCCTGAGGAGACTGGGGATAAATCGCAAGGCT